AACCGACCTCGCAAAAAACACTGATTTATGCATTTGTGTTGCTGTTACGTGTTACTATTACTGTTACGTGAAGTAAAACTGGAATCGAGTTGACGATATCACACAAACGATCAAACAGTTTTTGGTTTTCATGAAGCAACACAATCTCGACACGATATCGTTCAAACGATTGTCGTCATACGTGATTCATGCCCAGAATAAAGACAATTCTTGATAAATGTCTACAAATACAATTGTAAGATAACATTGATACTCTCCCATTTTGAAATTGCCACCAACTGCACTATACAGATTCAAGGACGATTCACCATCGAACGGGATCATTGTTGCCGCAAGAACTTCTTCACGGACATGACGAATTCTTTAGGTTATTTAAGACGGCAATGGAAGATATACCAAACGTGAACGTGAATTGTTGGTGAAACGGTTGAACCAAGTGTTTCAATAAAAAACGAATCTTGCGCGAGACGATGCTCACCGGGTCTGCTAGTAAAGTGGCTGTTAGACGTGACAAGTGCAAGTCCTTTTCAAAAGTCTGTCAAACTCAAGAATTTCCAAAAGAGATGGCAAGAGCAGTTACACCTTGCATGTAGAATGACTTTCGAACGCAGTTTTTATTTCTGAAAATTAAACTTTCCGATTCTACTTTTAGTCTGTTTACGCGGTGAATGCAGACAAGCCCACTTTCACCACACATTTTTATGTTCATAACAAAATTACTGACCTGAAAAATTTGTTAAAAATGCTCAAGTGCAAACAAAAGAATCACAAAGTGTTTAATGCTTTATAATTTATATTGTTCATAACAGGAGAATACAATAATTACAAGTATTTATTTAAATAGAAGCACCATTTTTATAATCTTATAGAAATTTGGTAAAAATCGTGTCACACGGTAACACTCGATTGGTTTGACAGCACTTCCAGCAAAAATGAAAATTGCTAGCGCAGCACGAGCAAGTTGAAATTATTTCTCGAAAGCGATTTGCGTAATTGCAGTTGCAGCTACACCTTGCAATCTTTATTTCCAAAAGTGATTTCTGCAAATCTGCAAAAAGGACTTTCGGGCTGTTTACAAGGGAAAGTAGAATTTCGATTCCGCATTTTGACAGCAAAATGCGTAGAAAAAGCGCTTGCATTGCCACGTTTAGCCGCACCTTAAGACAATAAAAGGCAAAAACATCATCCAAATGACTGACGATTCCAAAACATCTGTCTACCTTTATAATTATTTCGGTGGGTTTATATCGACGGGTGAGTTAAAGATCGACATTTCTCGGCAGCCAGTTCGAAAACGCCCTATTACAGAAAACTTTTCAAGAACGCCCTTCTTCAGAACTTAGTTGAAGAACGCCCTATTTCAGAATTTGAGTGTAAGACACCACATCTTAGATTTTGGTTGAAGAACGTCCTATCTTAGAATTTGGTTAAAATACGGACTATCTCAGCTGAAAATATTGAGGTGAGTTGGGATGAGGTAAGCAAAATGACATGATATAACATACCTTAATTTTGAGTTTTATCTTTTTCTTTGCCTCCTTTTCTTTAACTTTATATATATTTATCTTTTTCTTTACTTTTATACTTTTGTTTATCTTCATTCTTTTCATGTCTTTATTCAACTTCAAGTTTATCATTATACAGTGAAAATTTTAAAAACGAGGAACGAGGCACAGTATACAGTAAACCAGCCATTGACAATATGCTTATTTGAAAATTAATACATGAAATATTGTGCATGTGTAGAATTTTTTTGTCTGGTGCAAAAGTACCCAGAAATGTTTGTGGATATATTCGAAATGTAAATTTAAACTGCAAAACAAAAAAAAAAATAATAAAACAAAAGTATTGTTAATTACTACATGGGAGGTGGCGTGGTTATTGACAGATTTCGGCCAAATTTAATACTAACCTAAATTATACCAAAGGCCACTTCGGCACCGACTTTCGTTAAAATATCTCAAGCGCNACCGACTTTCGTTAAAATATCTAAATTTACTTCGAGTAAGCGTGTTTACAAACAGACACGGCTGAACCAATTCTTCTCGTCATCGATAATCGATGGGACCATTTTCCACAAAGTCAGCCCTTATTCATTCAATTATTCACTCAAAGTTGTGTTCGGAACGCGGTATGGCTTATGTAGGAACTACATCCGGTCACAATCGCTAACACTTCACTCCTGATTTTCTTGGAATTTTATTTTTCCCGTTATTTTATTTTATGTCACGTGAAAATATTTTTCACTATAAGATAATATTAAATTTGATTTCATTTGGGTTAACGAAAATGACAACTGTGAAAAAATATCAACCAATACATTCAAACAAATTGTCAAATAAGCATATTTACATTTTTTGGTTTGCCTATCTGGATTACTGTATACTGTGATTCAAACAAATTGTCAAATAAGCATATTTACATTTTTTGGTTTGCCTATCTGGATTACTGTATACTGTGATTCAAACAAATTGTCAAATAAGCATATTTACATTTTTTGGTTTGCCTATCTGGATTACTGTATACTGTGATTCAAACAAATTGTCAAATAAGCATATTTACATTTTTTGGTTTGCCTATCTGGATTACTGTATACTGTGATTCAAACAAATTGTCAAATAAGCATATTTACATTTTTTGGTTTGCCTATCTGGATTACTGTATACTGTGATTCAAACAAATTGTCAAATAAGCATATTTACATTTTTTGGTTTGCCTATCTGGATTACTGTATACTGTGATTCAAACAAATTGTCAAATAAGCATATTTACATTTTTTGGTTTGCCTATCTGGATTACTGTATACTGTGGAACGAGGGAAAAAAATATTTATTTGACGTATCCGTCAACTCGATGTTGTTGTTGTTGTTGTAGCAGCATACAAATTCCCCAAAGACTTTTTGGGAAGTGTTGCTGGAGTGACAGTCCTTGGCCAGATATAAATCTGGGTCGTTCCGGTTACGTAGACCCGACTGTCAACTCGATATATTTTTTTGATATACATCTTAAGGCATCTACACCTTTTCCAACATTATTTCAGAAAAACACAAATGTATTTCAGGCCAAATGAATTTCAGAAAAACTCAAATGTATTTCAGAAAACTTCAAATGTATTTCAGAAAAGGGCAAATGTATTTCAGAAAAGCTCAAATGTATTTCAGAAAAGGCCAAATGTATTTCAGAAAAAGCCAAATGAAATTCAGAAAAACACAATTTTATTTCAGACAAAATCAAATGTATTTCAGAAAAGCATAACTGTGTTCCTAAAATATTTTTCTGAAATACATTTGTGCTTTACTGAAATACAGTTATGCTTTTCTGAAATACATTTGCCCTTTTCTGAAATACATTTGCGCTTTTCTGAAAATAATTTGAACTTTTCTGAAATACATTTGTGTTTTTCTGAATTTCGTTTAGCTTTTTCTGAAATACATTTGGCTTTTTCTGAAATACATTTGAGCTTTTCTGAAATACATTTGCCCTTTTCTGAAATACATTTGCGCTTTTCTGAAAATAATTTGAACTTTTCTGAAATACAATTGTGTTTTTCTGAATTTCATTTGGCTTTTTCTGAAATACATTTGGCTTTTTCTGAAATACATTTGAGCTTTTCTGAAATACATTTGCCTTTTCTGAAATACATTTGAGGTTTTCTGAAATACATTTGAGTTTTACTGAAATTTATTTGGACTTTTCTGAAATTCATTTGGCGTTTTCTGAAATACATTTGTGTTTTTCTGAAATACTGTTGGAAAAGGTGTAGAAACACGTGCCGATTGACATCCAATGTATACGTTAAAGACTGCATATTTCGGTTTATAGATTTGTTATAAACGTGTATAATCCAAAAGTTAATATTTTTATAATTTCTTTTGCTACTTTTAATACTTTTCTTTATCTTCATTCTTTTCATCTCTTTATTCACCTTCACCTTTATCATTATATAGTCAAAGTTTTAAAAACGAGGAACGAGGGGAAACTCTTGATATATTTTATTGATATACATCTTATGGCATCTAGAAAAACGTGCCGATTGACATCCAATGTATACGTTAAAGTAACGTTAAAGACTGCATATTTCGGTTTATAGATTTGTTATAAACGTGTATAATCCAAAAGTTAATATTTTTATAATTTCTTTGAACCTTGATCTTTATTATAATACTTTAGTTTAATTTTTACTTTGCAGGATTCGCCAAGTTTTCCCTACGTGTGACGTTATATATAACTGCATTCCAAAAAATGTAACGGTAAAGACCACCTAAAACCACATTTATCTTTAAACAACAAAAAACAGGAAACAACATTAATAAAAAAATAGATATAAGATATTTATATTTAATTAAAGATATGTCCAAGAGCCGTATAGGTACTGGGTTACATAAAAGGTTGTGCAAATTTCTATACTTTGTACATTGTTACTTTAATTGCCGATATGTTTAAAGCAACGGAGCGGGTAACAAAAGGTATTATATCGAACAATGTGCGTCAATTATTATTGTTATAAATTATAATAACATGTTACGCTCATCTTGAAGTAACTACTAGAAAATAAATTTTATTTTTAGAATAATTGTGTAGTTTAAAATTCAAAAATTTCCAAAACTATAAAAAAACCTAAAAAAGGGGGAGAGAATTCGAACACCTAAATTCATAAAAAATAAATAAGTTTTTTTAACTGCTTTATAAACAGAAAGTTTGTATGAAAATGTAACTTTATAAGCTTTTTACACTTATTTACAGAAATTTAGAAAAGTTTTTGCAGAAAACGATATGGAAAATAAAAAATCTAAGAAGATCGTTTTACCCACTTCGAAGCTTCCAAAAGTATTAATATTTAAAATGCTTTTAAATTAGTTCGATTTTTTTAACCCTAAGGTGGGGCTAGCTTTGTTTTACTTCTTAAACAGAGGATTGGATAATTGAGCTCAAGTTTTATTGTACTTACCAAGTTTGTGTACTTTCAGAAAACAAACTGAACTTAATTTTTAGTTACATATGTATATTATGTTTTATTTTATTCTGTAGTATCCATAAAAAAATTTCGCTTTAAATCCAATAATACGTATGTATGTAAATCGAGTCTATCGAATGCAATACGTTTGCAGTACATATTCCGTTTCTCTTTAATATTTTTGTAACTAGACTATTTGAATATTTCTGTATCTAATAGTAACATTTTTCCAAACTGTCTGCATTGGGTAAATGCCGATGTGCCATTTTGTGAATGATACACATATAATTTTGTGTTACCTTTTTCACAATACGTATGTAAATACAATTTTTTTCCTAATTTTTGATTGCAACTCAACAATTTTCGAAATGAATTTCTTAACCATTAAATTTTGCACTCAATAGTATGTGTAGCTGTGTTGTAGAACAATTATTCTATTTACGTCAATAATTATAATTAGCTTTTTTGTTACATAAAAGGTTGGTACATACATATATAGTACATCTCAACACTCCTTTCGAATGAAGTATAGCTACACTTTCCATTCGGCTGTTTTGTACATATAAATGCATACATACATTCATGTGTATATGCATTAAACGTGCTACGCTAACAAGTCTAAAATTGTTGTGTTAAATATGTTTAGCAAGATGGCATCACTTTAAGGCGCTCGAATGCCGATTTTTCGAGTTTTTCACGATGATCAGGATGACTGATTTTAATTAGTTCATAGGCACGTTGACGCATATTTTTGCCAAATAGTGAAGCGATACCATACTCGGTAACAACGTAATGAACGTGAGCACGTGATGTGACCACACCCGCTCCTAAAATAAACGAATATAAACGAGTGTTATTATGGCCTACAATCAGGAATTAAAATTAAAAACTCACCTGGTTGCAATATGGGCACAATCTTGCTCTGACCCTTATTGGTTACGGAGGGCAGTGCAATGATCGGTACACCTTTTCCATCAAGCCCTTCAGCTGCACCACGAATAAAGTCCACTTGACCACCAAAACCTGAGAAAAATCGCGTACCGATCGAATCAGCGCACACTTGGCCAGTGAGATCCACTTCAATGGCTGAATTAATGGCAGTCATGCATGGTTGCTGCTTTATAATGCTGGTATTGTTGACATAATCGATTGCGTACATTTCTGAAAGCGCAGAAGTTTCTCTTTTAGACGTTCTGGGTTTCACAAATGACATTCGTTACTCACCAATGAATGGATTATCATTGACAAAGTCGTACAAAGCTTGATTACCAATCAAGAACGATCCGACAATGCGTCCCTGATGCATTTTCTTTTTGCTATTGTTTACGCAGCCTTTCTTCACCAAATCAACCACGCCATTGGCAAACATTTCCGAGTGTATACCAAGATCCTTGTGATTGTGGCAAGCATTTAATACAGCATCCGGAATATTACCGATGCCCATCTGCAGAGTGGCACCATTGCAAATCAAATTATCGGCAATCAACTTGCCAATTTTGTTTTCAATTTCGCTTGGTGGCTTGCCGCCGTGTTGCGGCAGAGGTGAGTCGACCTCGACGGCGAAATCGAAGTGTGACGAATGAATGCAGGCATCGCCAAATGTTCGTGGCATTTGTTTATTTATTTGAGCTAAAATTTAAATCAGAAAAACATTTGAATACAATCCAAAATTCTTTGGGAGCACTTAATATTTACCAACAATAATTTTCGAGTGGTTCGCGGCTGCACGCACACAATCTACACTGGTGCCCAGTGAACAGAAGCCATGACGGTCTGGAGGTGAGACGTGGACTATTGCGACATCGGGTTGTACGATACCTCTGTAGAAAAGATAGGGTATTTCATGCAAGAAAATCGACAAATTGTCACCTCGACCCTCGGCAACGGCCTTTCGCACATTGCCTCCCATGAAAAAGGAGTTTGAACGAAATATATCCTTGTTCTCTAGATTACAGTAATCGGCAGGGCCTTCGGTGTGCATATGACACACGGTAACATCTGTGAGTTTATTTTGTCTACCGTGCTTTGTCATGGCCTTTAACAAATCAATAGGGGTGGCAGCAGCACCAGAGGCGAACACAGTATCACCTAAAATGGAAGAAATGTATGAAATTGTTATGATAAACAGGTTAACAAAACTACATAAGAATGAATGAATTCAGATTGAGAGAATTAACGAACATATTATGAATGAAGACGGGAATGATTTTTTTGTGAAACAGTTACTAGGTAAGTACCACACAAGGGAAAATATTTTTTTGGAACAAAAAGGAAAGTAAAAAGCGACTCACTGGCGTAGGGAAAATCGATGAAAAGGAGATCAAAACGGACGTGACAAAAACAGAAGTGGTTTCAGAGTACATGTAAAAAAAGGGAAACTCTGCAAGTGGGTTTTTTCCCTTTTTTAAACATTCTTTAAATAAAGTCAAATTACGGACCATTTCATTTTTAATTTCTTCAATCATATTTAATCAGAAGCAATTCGTTGTTAGTTTAATTTTGACTCAAAATATGATAACGGACGTGACATATTGGATGTGACAGAATTTTCCCCCATACAATATTTTTACTAGTAACACATATATCATTTTTTTTTTTCAATTTCTCCAGTTAATCTCTCCAGCGCACTATGATCTGCCGACCACTATTTGCTGGCCAAAATTCCATAAGTAACAAAATTGATTTGAAACTTGGTGTTTGGCAGATTTTTGAAATTCAAAATGTCCGATCCAATATGGCGACCAAATTTTATAATTTTCTTCTTTTCACCGTAAACTCATATAAATGCTGGGTTTTCGAGGTCGCTGATTTCGAATCCGATGACTTTGGTGTAATATTCTTCGGGGAGCACTCTTTTAATAACATTTTGCAGCAAAAAGTTTAAATAGCAGTTTAAATCGGCGGTTTTTTGGCATCTTTTTTGTAAAAAATAACGTTTTATAACAAACTAGCAGACCCGGCGAACTTCGCCCCGCCCAAAATTTTTATTCTTTTATTGAAACTTTTTGGGCCAACATTTTTACCAATAATTCACGTTTGCGATTTTCATTGGCATATTCATCTGCTCAGGTTATGGTTTGGTGGTCATTTGCCGCTTTACATAACCTAAGGAAAGTGTTATATCCGTGAAGAAGTTCTTTAAATTCTCCCACTGTGTAGCATTTCTTAGCACGGTTATTCGCAAAACGAAATAAATTTGAAGATTTTTTTCTCTTCACGACCTGGTGGCAACAATGACCCGGTTCTATAGTAAATTTGTCCTAGAAGCTTTACAGTATAGTTGGCGGCGATTTCAAAATGGGTGCGAATCATTGTCCTACAGAAAGGCAATATAAATACATATACTTATTCCAGACGAAAGACATTAAAAGCTGGAACACATAATAATATTGGGAAATCACAGCCATTGGGCCAATCGTAACACAGTAGAGTTCGATATACTCAATGGTGCAACAGGTCGATTTAATCTGACCTTCACGGACCTTTTCTCACTTGGCTATTTCTAGTCATAATTCGACTCCAGCGCCACTCGGTAGCCCGTTTTTGCAATAGTATTGCTCTTACCATTACCCCCACATATTTAAAATATTAGCCAAATGGGATCATAAATAAGATTTTTAGTAATAACCAGGGTTGCCACTAACGAAAAAAAAAATATTTACCATCCACTTGAAAAAAATCTACCAAATCTCGGAAATATCGTCACTAGACACGAATAAAGGCGCGAGCTCAAAGGTTGACGGCGAAAAAAGACGTATAAAAAAACTTTAGCGTCAAAAAACCTTAACATATTTCGCCGAAGTTTTTCAAAACATTATCGCGCCTTTATTCGTGTGTAGTGACGATATCTACCAATAACTTTCTTATAATTATTTTAACAAAAAACATGGTTTTGTTATTTTTTTATTTATTTTAATTAAAACTATAGTTTTTTTATTTATTTTTAGTTATTTCAATAAGAGTCAAAACTGTTTTTAAGAACTTTTTATTTAACAAGTTATACGCTATTTGAGTCATATTATTGGTATATTCTCAGTTTCCTCCAAGCAAAAGCGAAAGTGATGAAACTAAAGGTAACAGTGAAACTTCATTATTTGAAAAACTTCAACTCGAGTTATTATATACAAATTCTGTGACTAAAAAAAGTGATTTTTTTTTTAATATTCGCAATATTTTTCGAGTAAAAAATCGAGGATTCAAACTATATACAACATATAGAAAAATTCCAAAAATTTTCGTCTAAATTTCGAATTTTTTACTCTGAATTTTTAGAACAGTTTAAGGTATGGAGTTTTAAAGTAAATACTATTTGAGTATAGCCAACAATGTGCTGCTTAAAATTCCCGTTGATTATTTTTTATTTTTTTCCATTAATAAAAAATGGCGTTGATTTATTTTTTTTTTTGCGAACAATCATAGTACGTAATTACGGTGACAAGTAATAAGATCAACGGAAATAAGGTCAGTTGACTTTACTTCCCACCCTGGTGCGAAATAAAGTCAATTGACATTATTACCTTTTTAAAAACGAAATAAAATCAATTGACATTATTTCTCTTTCAAACATTAAATTTGCTTAGCTTCGCGGCGGCCCGCGTCAGCGCGCCACACCTCGCGCGTCGCGCTCGCGCCCCGCGCGACCGGCGCGCACACCACGTCATGCTACGCCGCGGCCCCCCGGCCCCCCTTCCCCGTCTCCCGACGTGCTGGTACGCAGGTAGATTTATTTTTTGTATACGTTGAAATACATTTTTTTATATATTTTAAACATCGAGGGCTTATATTCAATAAGGTGTTGCGGATTTCTTCCACATACAAATAAATTGAGTTTATTCATTATATGGAAGCCAATGCGACAAAAAAAATTCTAAAAAATAAACGGTAATTCGTAGCCACT